GTTTCATAAGCTTTAAAGATGAGCAAGAAAGGTCGCCAGTTTCATTTTAATCCGATTTCATTATGATCTGCGACATTAAATATTCATTGATAGATAGATTGATTTATTATCATGATTATAACACTTCTTGATTAGTCAAAATCAATAAAACATATTAATATTGATCGGTTCCAATCCCAGAGTCTCCCTTGTTATGCTTTTCTTTTTGTTTTAATTTCTTATCAACCTGATATTTTTGGCGTGCAATAGCTGCTCTTAGTGATATCGACTCGTTTGGTACGAAGTATGCAATCACCTTAATTGCATACACAAAATGCTGTTTAAATTAAAAATAAATATTTGATGATTTATGAGTCACTAAATATAAGATTAATTAACGACATTTAATTAATTAATTACCTCAAAAGCAATAATAAATACAAGTCTAGCAATTAATAGATGATTTTCATTCTCATCTGTGTATTTAAGGAATTGTGCTTTCATCCAATTAGAATAAAATGCAATAATAATCGTATTTGATAGTACACCAAAAATCGAAAGAAAATTCAAGGCCTTTTCCCACATTCCAATATCTTGAGCTTGATATCCTACCGGCCTGCGTATAGAGTTTATATACTTTAAGTACATTAAAAATATAAAATTTTCAATTAATTTAATTAGTTTAAATGATCTTAATGATAAACAAAAAGAAGGTTGACTAAGTATCTGAACGGCTTGTCTGGCTTTTTATTAATTATACTGTAAATGACTGGCCATTCTAATACTTCTACAACTTTATACTGTAAAAAAAAAAGATTTACTTTGAAAGCATCTGTTCTGAACTCAATAACGTTATTTATCCAAGCAAACAGTGGTGCTAAAGGAAATACTGTGCAAAATAATGTTATAAATCCGAATTGTATAACTAAAATATTGATTAATATATTAATATAACGATTTTTTGGTTACGCACAAATATAAATAAATAAGACACACCAATTTCCATATATTCTGAATCTTGTATTTGAGGTGGTTCATCTAAATGATCATCTTCCACCCATTGTGGAACTACCTCGTTTTCTCCAAGTACTTGTTTTAGTGTGTCTTTGTTTAATCGACTTTTAACAAGCCTATAAACAATTAACGGCTTAGAGAAAGTTATAAAAAGGGAAAATAGATTAAAAAAATACATACGGAATAAGGACTTCACTAATTTGTCCAAATGCTTGCTTCCCAATCATGATAATTGCTAATTGAACAGTAAGTTCTGTAAAGCAATTGTCATATTCACATCCAGTTGTAATATCAGGATTGTTAATCATGTCTTTTATAAACTAAAGTTGAAGTAAAAATATGGTTACATTATAATAGTTAAAACTTAATAATAATTCAACACTCACCTCTTGTTTAAGTAAAATAACGTATAACAAAGCGGTGTAGAAATTCACAAAATCGAAAAGAAATAATTTAAGAATCAAAGAATCTTAATATTTACAAGATAATGAATTAATATAAAATAAAAATACAAGTATAACCAAATTAAATTTACAAAAATAGAAACCTTCATATGCTGTTTGGGTTCTGTGATTTTCAAAATCTGACAGCCATAGTGACAAATTACTATACAACTTTTATCATTACAAGATAGTAGCTTTAAAATTATCATATATATTTTTTTAAAAAACACTTTATAACATTGGATAAAATGAATATATATGTTTACCATTCTAAGTATTAACATTACCACGAGACTCACTATAGCAGTGGTGACGGATGTATAAATACCGACATGAATCCATATTTTTGGAAAAATAAGCAAAACTCCAGATGTAATCAGAAAAATGCATAGCTTTAAAATATTGAATGAGAAAAATTTAAGAATTTTGCTTCTGATAAATTCTACGATTAATCAAACGAATGAAAAATCTTACTGAAACAAAGATAATAATTCCGGAAACCATAAATTTCCTTAATCTATTCCTTAAAGGGAAATACATTTCTTCTTTCCCAGTAATTGGTGAAGGACGGCGTTCTTTGATTGAAGATAAAAAATATTTTAATTTCTAAAATATAAGGTAATATAATTAACAAATTATACAGACCTGTTCCATAAAATTCTGGTCTTGGTAATTCCTAAACGGTTAAATTAATAAGATCTATATGTTAATATTAATGTAAGCATGTGTCAGATTTATGAATTTATTACCTCTTCTTCATAGCACATGACATCCCAATTATATTGTAAAGTATTGTTTGCTCTTTTCCAATATTCTAAAAACGCAGTAGCTGTAAAAAAGAAATACGGAAATAAATTCGTTTATCCAGTGCACAGCACTGACTAAAGTATCCAGTTTGCCACATAGTTAATGAGGCACGACGTGTCGAATAACTGTGGGATTTGTAGAAGTGCAAATTCGACCAGCTATAAGTATCAGTGTATAGAGTTTCTAATACCACAGTAAACCACGATGGCGTTCTACGGTGCCGCAGTTATGACGTCATTTTTAATAACTTTTATCCGGCATTTATATTTAAGAGTTTATTTAATATTCACCGGTGGCGAAATTCTCCATTCTTTAATAATTGTTGCAGATCGTAATGAAATCAGATCATTGTGAAATTTAGGGGTCTCAATTTAAATATATAAGCTCTACCAAAATCTACTTACCCGTATCCTACCGTAAATAAGCACTACACCCTCTACCCCACTTTTTAAATGTCAGATTAGCGGAAATCGCAATGAAGTCTTTAGCCATATTTATTCCCGCTAATCTGATATTTAAAAAAATGGGGTAGAGGGTGTGGTGCTTATTCACGGTAGAATACGGTATACTCTTTTCCTAATAATTCTAATCCTAAACTCTAAACTATAAAAAAAACTAACAAAAAAGGCTCAAAAAAATTTAAAAATCAGATATAAAATTAGTTAATTTTCATTATAATCCGATTTATTATGATCTGCCACAATAATTTTTAGGGTTAGCATCGGGAGAAATTTTTTAGTGCTGTTCTGTGCAGATTTGCAAAAAAAATATATAATAAAATAAATGAAAATCTGTGCAAAACTTCAGACTCACCAGCTATAGCTACAGAAATTAAATACAGTTCTGCGCAAAATTTCAATATATGAAAAATTTTGCAGTTTTTTGCAAAAAATTCTGCAACAATCTGTATTTTCGCAGGTTTTTGCAGATTTGCACTTATTTAATTCTCCCGATGAGGGTGCAGTCTTGGAACAAAAGAGGAGTTTTATATAAATTAGATACAGAGATATAAGGTCCCGATTTTAGTTCTCGTGAGGTTTTATGGAGTCCTGAACATTTTTACTTAGACTCACCGACTTAATTACTTAGTAAGTTTTTGAGATATAGCACCCCCGGTGAATTTCACTTTATCTGAAATGGGTTTATGGATTTTTCGACAATCATTTTCCCGATCCAATACCTAATCTCCTACCAACGCAAAATGTCGAGGAATGAGTGCCACTGAGTTAAAATGTATCCGGGTTAATGTTAACTCTCGTGAATTTAAAACGTTAAACCCGGATAACAGTAACAAATATCAGCTGAAACGAATATTTTTGATCTATGATTTGGCTGATATCTGAAATGGAAAATCCAAAAATGCCGGATAAAAAAATTTAAATATAACGTTTCTATGGACATGATAAATATGTCCAGTGATATAAATCTTTCTTATTATACGCCGTAATCACATAACACAGATTCGTACGTACGTACTTTAGTCAATGCTGAATGGTATAGCCGTACTCCTCTATAGTCACCCTATATATGATCGCATCGTAAGAAAACCTCATAATCATGTCAAAATGTACGATACTTTTGCCAAAAATAAAATAAAATAAAATACCTAACAGTAAAAATATAAACGGACTATGATTATAAAGGAGTATGTCTTGTATTATCACAACTTGTAAATTCCATACACCATAATGTCATAAATAATGCAAAAGGGACAGTAAGAGCGTTATCAACAATAGAGGAAATAGTTCCAATATTTTTCGAAGACACTAATCCTCGACTTTAAAAAAAAGAAGACTAATATTAAATCTCAACGCTAACATCCATAGAAATTTTGAATACAAGATTACAAACCTAAATGCATCAATCAATCCATAAATAAACACGATCAATCCAACGATAGAAGGTATCGTTAACCAATTCGTATAATACTCTGAATTCAATTTCGTTATCGTTATCAACAATTAGATACATAACATACACAAAAACATATATACAATGTGCAAAAACAAATGCACACACCCAGAAATACAAAATATAATGCCAACTTTTCTCCAAAATATTCTCGTATTTGGTCCAATGGCTTACTTTTCCAATTTTTGATCCATGAATCATTCAATTTTGTACGTAAACTGTTTTTATCAAATATTGAGCCATCATGAAGAGGATAATAATCGGTGAAGACCTTCTCACTCAGAAGCGTTGATATAGCAAAAGCATTGGTTATTCGTTTCAACTTTTTAGTAAAAATTTGAGGAGTATCCTTCTCTTCTTCGTCTTTGACTATGTCTTCATCAATGTATTCCTTTAAGATAATGTGGTTCGCTACGTTCATTATATAATTAACCTATCGAAAAAGTAGAGTTTTTTACTACATTATATAAATGAAAATTTAAATTTGATGATAATTTACCAATAAATTTCTCCTTGCTGAACTGAAAAAGTTCAAAAATGAATCCATCTCATTTCCACCTTCAAACTTTTCGAAATATTTTTTTTTGAAAGGAGCAGATAGTTTATATTGGTTTAAAGTAACAAATGTTAGACTAGGTAAGAGCCACTTGTTTAGAGTTTTATAGTTTTCTGGCTCAGGTCTATGGTCTTCTGACTAGATTAAAAGAAAGCTACGAATTAATATAAAATTTTTAGCTTATGAATTAAAAGCAGAAAATTAAATTTACTTTTATGGGGAATTCAAGTTTCATATGTTCGGCATAATCGCAAAGCAATTTGAATGGCGCATAAATCTTTACATATTTAATATTTTCGTCATCGGATTTAGTTTCTTCTTCAACCACTAGCCCTATACGAAGAAGCAACTTTATAAAATCATCACGCTTAATAATTTTTTTCTCGTCATTATCTACATAATATTTAAGTATAAAGTCGGGAAGATGATCGGCAAATAATGTCTTTGCAATGGCATCTACTTTTCTTGAATATGGATTATTTACTGAAAATATACATTCAATAATTAACTGTAATGTATCGATCGACACAATAAAAGCCATAAGAATCTTTAACCAATGAATAAGAGATATTACAAAGTTGATATCCTATTGTTGTCTTTAGACGGTTTTCTTGCCCTGTCATTTTCACGAGTTGGTATTCTAACGTTTCCTCAAGCGTGGTTGAATCTTTTTTATTGATCCATTTCTGAATATTTTCAAACACTTTAATGACATCTTCATTCAAAAAAAATATCTTTCTACGAGAAATCTCAGAAATCTCTCTTGCATTTCCTGAATTTAACGGCCTAGAATAAAGGTTTATGCTATCCAAGTTGAAATTAATTTTTTCATTATCTAATAAAATTTTGTCGTCCTATATGATCACATGCAATTAGTATCAAAATTCTAGAATTCCCTAGAATTTCGAACAAATTATATACTACCTCTTTCGGAGTTACAGGTATACTAATTGCAAATTCCTCACTCGTAGAAGACATATCCTTTATTATTTGAGACGACAATTCAATGTTTCTTATTCTAGCGTCGGTAAGTGAGGATGTAAAGCCCTAAAAAATAACTCATTTCTTATAATGGCTAATTTTTCAAGGCGTCTGCAACAATAACCATGTACAGTACACATTGAACGTAATACAATAAAGGACGTTACAGCATTAAACTTACGAATAATATATACTTGTGTGACATCGATGAAATAAGTATTCTCACGTAATTAGCAATGATCAGAATTAATCGAGGCAAATATGAATTAGCATATATTCAGTTTTTCATTGAACTAATAATAATAGACCCGTTAAATTTTTGATGTTACTGTACGTACGTACGTACATCATTCTACCCTCGTTATAACATATTAGTCAAAGTTGAGAAATACAACTGTTATAACGAATTTCCGTTATTATACAAACCATATTTTGTTACAAATTTGAACACGCGTGAGGACAAAAAAATTTTCTGATCTTCATAATTCTGGTCTCAAAAAACGTAATTTTTGTATCACTTGATGCACAGAAATTGGGATCAATAACACAATAACGATTTAAAATTGCCTATAAAAAAATTATACAACTATATATATTTATAAATAAATAATATATACAGTGAAACCTCTTTAAGTGCACCTTCTATAAGTGCACACCCTCTCTTTTTCTTATTGTTCACTAAGTGCACATCGTTAAATTCTGGTCCCGAATGCGTGTACTTAGAGAGGCTTCACTGTATATATTAAAATATAAAATAAAAAATGCTAACCAGCAGCCAAAAACCGGTATAATTCAGACAATTCTCAAGACGACAATAATTGGACTATAAATTTATATTCGAAAAAAACATTATTTGAATGGATTCCTTACAATAGATTTCATAATATTAGAGAGCCTAACATTTTTTTTACGGCAAAATGGAGTGATGAATGGATGTAATGACGGTAATATTGCTTAAAAAACCGTAATTGGGCTGGAGCGGAGGGAAACGGAGTGTAAGTCCTTTCTATGCTCTACTAATTTGGGTCGATGTCCGGCTCCC